CCCTGAGCAAGCCCAGAGGCAGCTCCAGCCTTTGCAAGAGCTGTGTTAGTCAAATACAGCTTTGCCCGGGGCAGAGCTGCTTTGGCAAAACTTGCTCTTCTGCACGATCCAAAAAGAAAACCTCTACTTCTTTGCCAAAATGCTGTCAACTCCACTTAAACAGGAAGGCTCCTCTCAGATGCAGAGTTAGGCTGGGCTCCACTGTGCCAGTGACTTTGGCTGGATGGAACACCCTTGAAATGCCACTACAGAATCACGAGGTGCCAGCTGGTTGAGCAGTATATGACACAGTCCCTCCAAAGAGACGTGGTTGATGCTCTTTGAGGGTTTTGTTTTGCTTTATTTTCTCTCTTTACCCATAAAGCCACCCATCTCTCTTTCGTCACATCAGTTGATCGATCTTTGTTCAAAAAACAAAACCTGATACGAGGTCACAATTTTTAACTGTTTATAATTTTTAACTTACATTTTAACTTTTTACAGAAAATACAAAACTTGATTAATATTCACAAGCTGAACACATCCATGTAACAATCCCACAGATCAAGAAACAGAACATCACCATCACCCCCCAGAAGCCCTTGTCACCCTTTCTCACAGTCTCCTATCTCACTTTCAAGGGTAATTACTTGTAACAGAAGCCCTCATTTTAAATCCACTCGTGGTCAAAGAATTCACTATATGAGCTGAAGTTGGGATTCTTTTCTTTCCCTTTTTTTTGAGTGTAAACCTTTCTCCACTTTAATTGGACTTAGTTCGGGAGGGGATGTTTCCATTTTCTTTAAGTGTTCTATAAAATTATGCAAAGCCATTCATTCTTTTTGATACAATTCCTTCATCTTCGCCATCAACTCTGATGCTCCACTGCACGTACACCTGTCTTCAGAAGTAGCGGTTGGAAAGAATTCCATTTCTGTCCATTACCGTTATGTATACGTTCAATTGCGTAAATTTCCTGCTACACCTCGTATCTACTCTCTGACTTAAGGAATGTGCCTCCATCAAAACTAATTTGTAAATAAAAGAAAAAATCAAAGTGTTCCACCCTTTCTATTAGTCCCAGCTACTTTACTGCAGCCCTAGCCACAGCAATGCCAAGAATTCCATGAACTTCAAGTTCTTTGTACGAGACAAGGTCTAGACCCTTGTGGCAATGGATTTGGAAACTGAAGGCCCCTCACAAAGGCATTGAAATAACATGATCATTGTATACAGGCGTCCATGAGTGTCCACGCTTTTCAGTCGCTCTGTGGTTAATTTTTTTTCCATTAACTTTTATCATTTCTCTCTGAACACTGAGCCACACCACAGCTCCCCATCCGTAAGCTGCTTTCTGAAACGTGTCGCTTAAGTTTTCGTTGTCGTCTTGCTGTGGATTTAGCCAATTTATTTACAACTGTTGTGTGCTTCTGCCACATCTGCATTGTCACTGTGATGGTATTTTTTTCTTTCTGTCTGTTTCTTCCACAGGAGTTTAACCAGTAATCTACCCAATGTGAACCTACCCAATGTGAACCTTCCCAAAGTACCAAATCTACCAGTTAACATCCCTCTAGGCATCCCACAAATGCCTACTTTTTCGGCACCGTCATGGATGGCTGCTATATATGATGCTGAGTGTGTATTCAGTTCACATTAGATCTAATTTAAATTTAAGTGATCTTGGCATGGATATGTATTGTTTATTTCTATACGTCCTATATAACGGGGATGGAGATGGATAATTAGACATATTTTGCTGATCATACAGAGACAATATTGTTTATTTCTGGCATGCAGCGTGTTTGTAAGACGTTTGCTATATATACAGCACTAACAATTTGTCTTACGCCCACTGAACGTTTGAGGACTATGTTTCACTTCCTGAATTCCTTTGCAAAAGGCTTCTTCCCATATATATATATATATATATATATTTTTTTTTTTTTTTATTTTTAATGCAGGTGACATGACTTTAGGAGTCAGTCATCCAAAAATAGTCCAGGAAACCTCTTTGCTTGGCCAGCCGGTCATTTCTGGCTTGATCCAAATCAAAGAGGAAAGCACACCTACCTAGAAGCTGGTTTGGGCTTTTTTTTTTTTTTTTTTAAATAAAAAATTCCTATAGACTGTTTAAACCATAAAGCATATTTCTGGTGTCAGCAAATGGCAGGATATAGTAACAGTATGTTCAGGGCTAAATGAAAATTTCTGAATGGATCAAGCCTTGGTAACATAAATGTTATGTAAAGGTACGTTCCAAGGTCATAATACAATTTGGAGCACTGAGATCTAGGTAGCAAGATGTCTAAATTTGAGAATGCACTGCAGTTAAATTTGGCGGTAGCCGTATTATCATCTGTGGTCTCAGTGTAGGGCCACTCTCTACACTCATCCATACAAATGCCAGCAATGCATGGGGTTTGTTTTCCTCGGAGGTCAGGAGAGGAGGTCACCCCTTTAAAGCCAGCAGTTTGGAGGGTGGAGGTTGAGAAGCCATTTCTTCTAGCTTAAGAAATGAATCCTCTCTCCTTCTTTCCTTCTCAAGTAGAAGGTCCAGCACCCCGAAATCCTACCTCAGGGAAATTAAATTAGAACCACATGCATGATTTAATACGTGAAAGAAGGTTTAGCAATCCTATACCCTCCTTTGATCCTTTTCTTAGACCGCAGCTAATTATAGGCCAGATAAGCTTTTTCTTGAAAGAATAAATTGGCACATTTTCAAAGGGAAGTGTTATTATCAAAGGAATAAAAAATGATCTGAAACTGGCAGTGATGTTTTGAAATCTCAAAATCACATGTGTCAAGATGGCCCTCCACGTTTTTAATTCTGCAGTAACCCAGGTAGAGAACAGAACTTTAAAATGACTGCTCTACTTGGCTTCTCCAAAGATACCTAATATTTTTAAAAACCCGTATTTGCTCACAAGTTCACAGTGAAATCACCTGGTCAGTCTGATTTTCTTTTAAAGACAAATAAAAACCTCCAAAATTTGTATCTGGAAAAAAAAAACTTCAAAAACAACCCCATAAATCATATTCATGCTAAGATGACTATATGAAAAGTTAGATTAGGTAGTATTCTGTTAAAAATTAACAAATAAATATCCAGAAGCTTCTCTTACCTCCTTCTGTGCATGCTCTGTGACATTGTTTTTGAAAAGATATGAATCAAGACATTGTAATAAAGCAGATAATGGTCTCCATTCAATTAATTAAGACATGAGTGGGAACACATTTTGGTAACTGCTCAGCAATCAAAATAATCTTGGTGCTATTGCCTTAACATTAACAGTTTATCTTAAAAATAAAAAGAAAATATTCTTTTCCTCATGTCAAAACTTAATAATAAGCTCTTCAAAGAAAAAGAAAAAAAAAACCCTAGAAGAATTTTTTGAAACTCTGAAACCAGATGGGTGTCAAAATGTTGTTGTAATAAATACCAATTATTGCATTCATATGTACTTAATGATTTAAAACATACAACCATGCAGTTCCAAAACGGGGTTTCGACTAGGCAAAGTTGGGGTTTCTTTTCCCAGGCATAGGATCGGATGGGGGGAAGGTTGAACTTTTATGGAGAAACAGTGCATCCCCCCACTTTTGAACAGTGCCTACGACCGTATCTGAAAAGAAGGCGTAGATTCTCAATCACCCACCAGGAAATGCCTGATTCTATATCTTTTCATATTTTCAGTTTCCTCCTCTGCCACCTTTCATTTTAAGAACGTGTTTCCATGTTACCTGCTCCTTCGTGTCAGATACATCTACGTACTGACCTCAGACTGGTCTGTCCTTGAAAGCGTTACCCTGTTGGTCCAGGCCGTGGGCTCCCTCCCGGCATGTTGGGAGTCTTCTCCTACCCCCCATCCCCCTGCAGTAGCTGTGTATGCCTTTATGCACTAGCTATATTTCTCTCTCTGAAGCATTAATTCAATGCAGCTGGCATCTGTCACAATAGAAACACCCACTCTCATCTGTTTCTATAGACGATGTCAGAACAAGTGGTAATGCATGGTATGTTGGACGTTTTATAAATTGCCGTGTTAGCATTAGTGGTATGCGAGGAAGGGGGTGGGAGGTGGCCACCCCGCAGAGCTGCCGATGGGATTCTTACAAAAGAGAAAGCCAGCCAGGGAAGGGCAAGAGGGTGAGAGGTGGAGCATTTCCTGTACGTGGGCTTTCCGTCGATGCCCCAGGTAAAAGTTTCTTAGACATCATTGTACAGAAAGGAATCAAGACCAATTTCTCCATCTGTACAGAGGACTGGGTAAGATGGTGCAGCGGTACAAGAGCTCAGGTTTTGAGCCCTAAAGCTTTGCAAATATCCCTTGTCCACTCACCTCCCCCCACAACCCACCTTGTCCTGGGGCTGCCTGTGCAACGGGCTGGTCTGTGCAAATTGGACTGATAACCAAACTGAACGAGAATCTTGGATTCAAGGTATCCAGGTGGACTCGGCTTGACGTGAGTCACCCCAGTTTCCTTCCAGCTCTTCAAGAGAGAAAGCGGGTCCTCGCTCACCACTTTGTTAGCACTGTCCTTTTACAAACGAAAGTCTTGTGCAGTATCCAAGAGGTCTCCGCTCTGGAGGGCAGCCGGGGAAATGCATGAAACCCTGAATTCTAATAACTGCATGTTGCCATGTAGTTATTATCCGTTGAGACCTACTTCTCCCTCTGGTTCGTGGCCTTCATCTGAATCATCACATGTGTTAATGTGGTTATTAAAAGAAGGCTGATTTTTACCATACCTTGTTCTAGTTATGGGGCAGCACCTTCCTCAGACTTCTCACTGGTCTGGAAAAATTGGCCGAACAAAGCCCATGAAGTCATGTATGGTAAAACTCAAAATCTGCCGGTGGAGATCGCCCCCACCTCCACCGCCAACATGCGTCGTTTTGTATGTTGAAGCCACTGTTTGCCTTAAGCCTTCTAGCCCCAAACTGTTCTTGTGTCAGCTTTTGCAGAACCCTAGGCCAGTGGGTGACTCTTGTTTTCAAATGTTTATCCTGCCAGTAACGGATCAGGCACTTCCGAAGATCTGTTCTGGAAACTTGACGCCCTTCAGACCTTCATTCGGGACTTGCACTGGCCTGAGGAAGAGTTTGGAAAGCACCTGGAACAACGGCTAAAGCTGATGGCAAGTGACATGATTGAGTCTTGTGTCAAAAGGTGAGCATAGGTGGCTGGACAGGTTTCTGCACCCCTTCCCCACTGGGCGCTGACTCGGGGAAAGGTGAGGGCTCCCACTCCTACGACTGGCCGTAATTTGGAGTGTTTTGGAGAAGGTGGCTGTTTGTCAAAGTCAGCTGGAGTGGTGACCACCTCACTGTAGCTTCTATTCACCTTCCCCACATCTGTCCCAGACCCAACAAAAGATGGCACAGAATATGGCTGCCAGTTTTTTCATTTAGCTCCATGAGGAAAGTGTCCTTATTGTCTCTGTATCCCCAATACCCGTAAGTGTCTGGCACAAAATATTTAGTTAATACCTATTTGTTAAATATCTGAGTGTATGCATGGGTAGCTTGCTGGAAGAAAGAGAAGCACCTGCAGTTCTAGAGCCAGTGTATTCAGTACAGGTAGCAGGCATCTCTTGACTTTCCAGCAATGTGGGCAGGACCTCCACGACATCATTCACTCTGTGTATATGAACTGAGCATGTACCATTTGCCAACCATGAGTTGTCTTGCCTAAAATCTAACTAGATAGCAACAAAGGGGCATGACACGTTAAATGTGCATTTTGATTTCCTACACATTGCCTGGGCTGTCACCATGGCATATAGGATTGAGGTGGGAATGCTGTGTCTGACCTTTCTAAGTAGACTTTCCTGAGAAAGAAGGAGAAAATGAGGACAGTACACATCCACTCAACAAAAATTGTTTGGGCTTCTCCCGTATGCCAGGCGCAGTGCTAAGTTCTTGGCACACCAGGAAGGATGGGAGATCGCATCCCTTCCCTCATGGAGTATCTCTTTCTGAATATCAGAGGCAGAAATGAAATCCGTCTGATTTGACATCATTATCATCACCCTGTCTATCCCCAGACACACATCCAAGTTCCCTTTCCAGTTCATAACGGTTCCATTATTTTTCCTCATTCAAAAACACCCGAAATCCCCCAAGCGGCACAGACTACTCTGGATCTCCAGATGTTGTATAGTTTAGTTGATGGATCAGTTGTGTGTGATGGGGGCTGGGTTTGGCTGAGAGTGAACTGAGTTCATTATTTTGTATCTTGGAAGAAGAAAAGAGAAGTAATAGCATCAAAACTGGAAACCAAAAAGGGCAAAAGACCTGCACAGCCCCAGGTAGGGGAGCATCTCGGCAGGAATTGGTAAAGGAGCCACATGCTGTGGGGAATCTGGGCGGGTGTCTGATGGCACTTCTGGAAGCTTAAAATCCTGGTGATTCAGATTTTGTGTTTTGCTCTTTTCTTCCCAGTTTTAGAAGCAAAGGCAGGCCTATTTCTCAAACCAAAGGTCAAAATCTTTCCTTAGGGTTTTGGATTCCACCATTTCCTACCTGGTCTATATCAGTTTTAGGAAAAGTAAGCCTTTCCCTATGGCCAAACCATCCCACCAAAAACTTCTTGCAGGGCAGTTTCCCTGTGGTGAAAAGTTCTCCCTTCATCTGTACTGGCGGCTACAATGCAGTAGAAAGAACCCTTACTAGCTTCTGATCTGTGTACGCAATCGTACAGAAAGACATGTATGCCCTTCTCTGAAAAGCCAGGCTTCTGAGTAGGGAGGAAGAAATAAGGAGACGCTGGGAGGAAAAGGGAAGACATAGGGATGTGAAAGGTAGATAGTGACTCTGTTTTCTCCCTTACCACGTGCCTTGGTGTGCAGGAGCTAGCTCCCTGACCAGGGATCGAACCCACCGTGCCCTCGGCAGTGAAAGCTCGGAGTCCTAACCATTGGACCACCAGGGAATTCCCCTTACCACGTGTCTTTATGGATCAGCCACCTCCAAGAGTGTGAGCTACCGAAAGGCAGGGAGTGTATCTTGTTCATTTTGAACTCCTCTCCCTCCCTGGGCCCCCGCCTCATGCCTGGCACATAGTGGCTGTTAAGTAACCTTTTGTGAACAGAAGTTGGTCAGCTGCACATGTACACCTGGCACTGGACACATAAATACCCCCATGTCCCTTTCAGTTGAGGCCCCAGATAAAAGCAGATCAGGGCACACATACGGGCAATTGTCACCCCCAAACCCCTCCAGATTCAGAAGGAAAAATGTGAATAAGTCCTTGGATGTTGTGAAGACACAGAATCTACATTAGTAGAGCCTGGAACATTTGCTTTCCTCTTTGGGACGGAACAAAAGGGCCTTGTTCTAGAAGGGCAAGGACATTATTGCATAGATGTAAATATGCAATGCCCCAAAGTCAATCAGGCACTCATTTCCAAGTTTTCCAGCAATTGAAATCATTCATTTGGTGGACTTGATGGTGCCGCTGGTCTAGTCTGTGTCAGGTCCTGTGCTCCACACAAAATACGGCACCCTAACTGCCCTCAGAGAGTCAGTGGATTAAGTGACCTCTCCATTCTCGGCTTTTCCTTTCCCATGGAGCCCTATCAGTCATATTAATTTTGCATTCAGCTTTCCTCTTTTTCACAGCCGCACACTCCAAGGGCTATGAACAGCTCTCCTGTGAAAACAGAAGACGATTGCTTCATTGTAAGGGAGCGATTTAGCATTTCCATTTCTCAAATTGGGCCGGAACTGGCACACAAACCTCAGAAGATCAACACAGGGACCTGTCCAAGTCAGGCCCCATCAGGCCCCCTTTTCACAAAACCAGAAAGTGATGTATTTTCAACGCAGCTTAAAATGATCATCATGATTAGAAAGCTTCTTCAGTGCACCGAGTCTTTGGAAGCCAAGATCATTTATCTTTAACATGATCATATAATATATAGGAGTGTTTTTTTTTTTTTAAGTAAGAACTGGGCTTCCAACCTTAGAAATTATACTTGGCTTCCCTGCCTGCACCCAGGGTGTGTTAGCAAGCTGGCATCCTTTCCTGAGCTGACTAGCTGTGTGGTCCTCCCTATGCACTGTTAGAAAACTGCTACAAATACCTCTTAAAGCAGTGCTTTCCTGGTGGCTGCATGATCTCCAGAACCTGACTGTGAACAATGCTGAAAAGATGCACTGGTCGAAAGGAGCTTTAATAAAACCACTTACTAACCAGGTGCTTTTCTTTAAAGACATGTCATGACGTGACCCACTTCTCTGAAACCTTTTAAAATCTAACTGGTCCCCTTGACCATGCTGATATCAAGGATTAAACCTTACCCCTGTATTACCAGCTGTCCATGTCGGACTAGGGTTTTCCTGTGTGCAGTTAGCACATTGATGGGATCCTAATTTGGCCTGTGTCAAAATTACGTCCCCTTACGTTTCCACCGTTGTACTGTTCTTGAAATGGTAAGTATATTATGATATTTTTACTTATAAAAATAACATATTCTTATTATAAAATAATACATTGACATTGCAAAAACACACAAACAAACATAGCGGAAGCCCCCTGGGACCACTCCTCCTAATTTCAGTCTACTCCCCAAAGGGAGCCGTCTTATTTTTGTAGTCTTTAAAGCAAACATAATAAGCTTGTTGGATTTTTTTTTTTTTTTTACGTCACTCTCTTTCAAAACCAGAAAGGAAAAAAAAAACAAAACAATAAGTGTAATTTAAGATATTTCCCCCCATGAAGTTTTTGAAGATTAGAAGCTGTTTTGGGGGGAGAGGTTTTGCTGTTTTTTTAATGAAGTGATTCAAGGTAGTCGGGTGCCAATATGAGAGAACTTATATATGCTATAATGCTGTAATTGGGTTTTTGTTCATTCATTCATTCTCGTGCAATTAGGGTTCTCCATAGCATGTAAACTATAGACAGAAATGCGCCAAGCTACAGGTGTTCCATGAGCTGCAGAGAAAGGAAGGGTTTACATGGCTGTCTCTGTGAATAGGCCTTCCTTAGCTGGGAAAGTCATTTTAGAAAGAACACATGTGAAGTCATTGTCGATTGAAACTGATTACAGCCTTCAATTTTCTTTTTCACTGACCTCTCGGAAAATGTCTCCTCCACCTGCTGCCATCTGGATGCTGAATTGGTGTTTTCCTACTTTGTTTTAATAGAACCAGGATTGCATTTGAAGTTAAACTGCAAAAAACCAGTCGATCAACAGATTTTCGAGTCCCACAGTCAATATGCACCATGTTTAATGTTATGGTTGATGCCAAAGCTCAATCAACAAAACTTTGCAGCATGGAAATGGGCCAAGAGGTAAAAAAAAAAAAAAAAAATTACGGATTTCCCCCCCGCCCTCCATTGATCGTGCAGAAGAAAACTTCACAAATTCCTTCCATCTACACTAGTCTGCTAGTTTCAGAAATATACTCTAACATTTGTGGATTAAGCCACAGATGAATGTTTGGTGTCTATTTGTTAAGTAAATTTCTAAGGCATGTGCTGATGACTATGCCAGTCACTTGGAAGTGATTCTTGGCTGGGGTTGGGGTGACCGTAAAGTTCCCTTAAGTCAGATGAAGTTTGATGACCTTATTTATTAGGCTGGCATCTCCAACAGATCTGTTTGCCAGAATGCAAGTCATTTTCACACTGGAAGTGCATTTTATCACTTTGAACATCTGGACAGCAGGAGAGAGCTCTTCCTAGTATCATGCAACTTCCAGGATGTATAATGTTAGATCACCCTGCTACTCAGTCCCCAGCCAGCAGCAAGCTTTGAATTTCCAAGAAATCGCAGGCTTTCCATTTTCCTTAGATTGAGTTGATTGTGAATCTTCCCTGACCAAAAGTTTAGTCCTTTGCTAAGTTTCCAATTCCAAAGTGGTATTTAAAAATGTAAAGGAGAAAGAAACAGCAACTTGGGCTTGATTAAAGACTCTATCATGATCATTTTTCTCCGATGGCCTTAAGCCAGCTAGATATTCATATACCAATTTAGAATTAATTCAGAAACATTTCTGGCAACTCTCATGTTGTTGCCAATTGGCATAAATTGCTCCTAAATCAGATCTTACGATACCAGCCTTATATGCTCAGAATTTTTACTAAATTATATTTCTCCTTATTCGTTATTTATTTTCTCTCTCGGCACCTTCCATTTTTAAATGTGGGTTGGTGGTATTCTCTTCCTGGCAAGGTCATCTCGAACCTTCTTTCCCCTCCAAATCAGCTTCCTCAACCATCGCTGTTAGCTGCTGCCCCTGGCGGATTTTCTTGTTGGGTACCTTGCCCCGGGGGCTATGTTCTAAGCCCTGGGGTCAAATGCAAGGTGCCAGTGGTTCTCTTTCCTGGCTCCATTTGCTGCATGAGAATGATCTAGAGCAGTAGTTCTCAAATTTCAGGGTCTTTCGGACTTATCCAGAGAGCTTCTTAAAACCCAGATTGTTGGGTCCCACCCCGCGAGTTTCTGATAGGTCCGGGGTGTGGTCCAGGAATTTGCATTTCTGACAAATTCCCCAGTGATGTTGGTGCTCCTGGCTGGTCTGGAGACCACATTTTGAGAACCACTGGCCTGGAGCCCCAGTATCCAAAAGGAGTTAAGGAGAAGAGCTGAGGTACAAAGGACAGCCTCCTGAGGAAGGCTTGGGTTGGGTGTCTAGACCCTGGGTCTCTTGCCCTGGCTGTGCTGCAGACTAGACCTGATCAAGTCACTCGGCCTCTTCAAACCTCAGTTTCCTCATCTGTAAAATGATAGCACTATTCCAGTTTCATTCAGGCTGTTTTTAGCTATAGACTCAATTCTTCAAACCTTACCAAGAAGGCCAGCATATGAAATGAATAAAATTAGAGCTGTTCTGAAATGGGGGGCAGGAATTCAAGGAAGAGGGGGCCCAGAGCCCAAGCTACCATATTCCTCTTCACACTGCCCCCCAGGCACGCCCCCCCCACTTCTCTGGGGGACTCGGAACAATCTCGTAGGCTTCACAGAGCCCACTGTAAAAACCCTGTTTTTAGTGTTCTCTAAAGTTCATTAAAATCCCTTTGAATTCAAACTTTTCAGGGTCCCATCCCTTTAAAATGTTTTTCCCTTTGAGCTTCCTTTTTAAAAACTGAGATATAATTCACATACCATAAAATTCACCCTTTTAAAAAGTATGATTCAGTCATTTTTAGTACATTCACAGAGTCGCGCAACCATCGCCACAGTCGGTTGTAGGACATTTTCATCACCCTGAAAAGAAACTCAGACCCATTAATAATAATTCCCCAACCCTCCCTCCCTAGCCCGAGGTAACCACCACTCTTCTAGCTGTCTCTAAGGATTTGCCTATGCTAAGCATTTCATATCAATGGAATCTCATGTGTAGCCTTTGGTGTCTGGTTTCCTTCACATGGCATAATGTTTTCAAGATTCATCCATGTTGTTGCATGTATAAGTACTTCCTTTTTATAGCTAACTAGTATTCTGTTATATGGATATACTACATTTTATCACTTCATCAGTTGATGGACATGTGAGTTTCTTCTACTTTTTAGCTGCCTTGAACATTCCTGTACAGGTGTTCATGTGGACCTAAGAGTGCAATTGGATATGTACCTAAGAGTGAAATTATTGGGTCGTATGGTAACTCTGTGTTCAACTTTTGAGGAACAGCCAAACTTTTTTGCAAAGTGGCTGCACCATTCTACATTCCCATCAGCAATGTGTGAGAAATCCTATTTCTCCACAATTTAGCCAAAGCTTCTTATTATCTATCTTTTTCGGTATAACCATCCTAGTGTGTATAAAATGGTATCTCACTATGGTTTTGATTTGCAGTGATATTGGCCATCTTTTCATGGGTTTATTGACCACTTGTATATCTTTGAACAAGTGTCTATTCATTCAAATCTTTTGCTCATTTTACAAATTGGATTGTCCTTTGTTGTTTAGTGATAAGCGTTCTTTATGTGTTTTGGATACTAGACCATTATCATATATATGATTTGCACCTATCTTCTTGCCTTCTGTGGGTTGGTTTTTGTTTTTCACCTTCTTGGTAGTATTCTTTAAAGCATAAAAGTTTTTTTAAGTTTTATGGAGTCCAGTTTATCTGTTTCTCCTCACAGCTGCTGGAGATGTCCATTTTCACCGAGTTTCCCAAGGATGACACCATTCAGGGTAGGGAAGCGTTGTTACACAGGGATTGGCCTCCTTTCCCCCTCGGCGACTTTTACAGTCCCTCTTCAGACTGACTCAATGGTGGCCGCAATTGTAGAACTCCTACATGCCCGGACAGATAGCTAAACATTCTCTTCAAACAAGCTTAGTCACTCTGATCTTTTCTTTTTGAACTGGAGTTTGGGGAGAGTAATAGGAGTTGGGTGGAGGAGTGGAGAGGGGGTGTTGTCAGAAGCCCTACTGAAAATCTGATGAAGTGTATGAGGCCATTTCCCAGAAAATAAATTAAAAAATTAAAAAATTAAAAAAAAAAAATATATATATATATACATACTTTCATGCAGTTTCACTATACAATCTCTTGTCAGGCCAAACTATAGACCCTGGTTGGAGATATATACTAAGAAATAACAAGTTGATTTTGTCACAGTGGACCCTGTCTCTCATCTTTACCACTGATCACTTCTGTACTAGAGTAGAATGCCTTTGGCTTAACCTTGAAGTCTTGGTTTTCTAGACTAACTTGTCCAGTGGCTTAATAACTACATCACATGGACTCTACCCCTTAGCTACCAAACTGTGTGACCTCGAGCAAGTCACTTACTCTCATAACCTTGCTTTGGTTTGTCAAATGAGAGATAATGGCATGTAACACAACCTTTGAGAGGCATGTAGCTTGTCAGAATTGGGGATAAAGCTTCCTAATTTCTGGACGTAAGATTAGAAAGTTGTCTTGGATATTCCCAAATAGTAACTTTTTTTTTTTTTTTTTTTTTTTTTTGGGTGGGGTTTTTTTTTTTTTGCGGTACGCGGGCCTCTCACCGCTGTGGCCTCTCCCGCTGCGGAGCACAGGCTCCGGACGCGCAGGCTCAGCGGCCATTAGCCCACGGGCGCAGCTGCTCCGCGGTATGTGGGATCTTCCCGGACCAGGGCACGAACCCGCGTCCCCTGCATCGCCAGGTGGACTCTGAACCACTGCGCCACCAGGGAAGCCCCAAATAGTAACATTTTTGAGGCTAAACTACTTCTTTCTGGACATTGTTCTATTTGATATAATAGAAAAATTTCACGTATTTACCCCTAAATGATTCAAGGTGTTTTTGTTTGTTTGTTTGTTTGTTTTTAATGAAAACAATAACTGAGACTCATAAATGTTTCCCAGTTTCCCAGAACTAGCGCACAGACGTCCAGGCTAAATGATCTTTGTTAAGGGCCCATCCAATACTGTATTCTAGTCTATGATTCTTGTCCGAAGCCTGTCAGTTTCCCAAGCCATGCTAGAGAGACCTGCTCTGCCATTTCTCCTTAATGTAACTGAATCAGAGACACCTAAGTGACCAGCTTGTGAGAAATGAGGCCTTTTCTGACCTTAGAATGCCAAGTGACTGAACAGTGAGAATGAAGCCAGACATCATTGTCTGTAAATATATACTTCCTTGAAGGACCTTGCTCTGTGGCTGTGACCTTGACTAGAACTTTATCGGGAAGTCTCATGCAAATGGTCTCTCAATTTTTCTCACTTTGCAGAATGGAGATATTCATCTCCAAAGTAAAACTGAATTGTTAAAGTGAGATTGGCCAAGGGTGGCTGGAAACATCATGATCTTGGGAGAAGTCCAGTGTTTTTATGTAGTTTTCATTTTGTGAATATTGGATAGTAAACTCATATTACGGATCTAGTTACTAATACCTGCTTCCACCTGGATTCCAACTCCCTTAAGGTATTTTGGACTAGATACTGACCAGGTGATACAATATTCTCCAGTTTTAAGATCACTTCCTGAATTTCATCACTGGGATAAAGTCTCATTTAAAGGCAGCTGTTGAAACATTTGTTAACCATACTTTTCCATCTTAAATATTTATTTTTTCATTAAAATTTGTGAAGCACCAATAGAGAGGAAATTGTGTATTAAATAGTTTCTCACTTGGTCTAGTGTGTTTTCGTCTCATTTCCAAGGTCAGATGGTCTTAACAGAAAGACAACATACACACAATCTGTTCCATGACAAGGCAAAATGTGCAGCACAGGAAGTCAAGTGGAATAATTTTCACGAAGTGATTGTGAATTTGCTGCAACTTAGCTCATCAGAAGCAAAAGTAAACTCTCCAAACTTTCCACACCATTGAAGATTAGTAGTTCCCTTGCCATCATCATCGTCATGATCTAGTGCCCCAGAATATAACTTAGGAATATTGTTGTCATTATTAGGGTCAAGTCAATCTAAGAAGGCCAACAGAGAGGACTGGAAAATGCAAAAACAGGAAGGATCCCTTTTTGTACCCATATTAGGATGCAGATAGAACTGGATAGTTCAACTGACTGCAAGAAATTTTGTGACAAGATAGTTTAGTTAGGGGGATGGTAATTAAAAGATGCCCCAGTAGTATTTGTATCCCTTCATGGAGCTTCACATCTGCATGGAGCAATGTATCTCCCAAGAAAGAGCAGAGTGAAGGCAAAGTACTTACTGTTTCTCCAGAAAAGCAAGTCAATCAAATAAGTCTCAGGAGAATCTGGTAAAAGGAATTCATGTATTTTGTAATTACTTGAATAGGAATGGGGACTGCTTTGATACGTACCCCTTTGCCACGTGATAAGCAGGGTAGATATTCCCCTGCCCTACTATATATCCCAAAGTAGGTTTTATTTATTTCCAATTATAGTTTACATACAATCAAGTGTATATATTTTATATGGGTTTAGAGAAATGTGTACACACGTGTAACCACCATGCTAATCAATTAGTAATTGTAGGAGTAATTCTGCCAGATAGCACTTCTGAGTCTCTAAACCATGTTTCCATGCGTGGTTTCATGACTTTGTTAGGTGAATATGATTTCTACACTCACAACAGGGATAATTCTAGCCCCATTGAGGAGATAAGGAAATAGACCAATAGAGATGAACATGCTCAAGTTTCCTCTGGAAGTAACAGACAGAATAGTCATAGCAAACACTTTTTTCTCCTAAGTAGAAATTAAGAAAAGTGGAGAGGCGTGGAGATCATAATATTCACCTGGAGAGAAAGGGAGAGACAGTGGGACTACCTGGAGAGTAGTGGGGACGATATTTGGCATGGGAATATTGAAGACAGGAAGAGGTTCCCATAAACCACCATGTCTCCCTATACTTTAGTTTGGATTCCTTAGAGAATGAAAAGGTTTGAGGTTCTCCCACTTCTGAAGAGAAAGCCTGTTTGTCTTTGGAGAAAGAATGACATTGTTAACTCTTCAGAACAAGAGCCTCAGTCTTTCTTGGTGCAGAATGTTTGCTCTTGGCTTTGTTTGCCATTTCAGCCAAGTGTTTCGAGAGATTGTTTCTTTTCTCAATTGATGTTCTTTGCTTGGTTAGAAGCTCCTCATTTCATATTTCATATTATTTTGCCTGCAACTAGCTTTTCGGAGTTACCTTGTAGTTAATTTAATATAGGTGGATCATTTCTAGCAATTCCAAAGAAAATCTAGCGGAGTGAGGCAGTCTCATGAGGAGGGAAGGTAAGCATGTGATTCTGGATCTTATCTCAAGACCTAAAAGTGAATTTGGAGCCCCATCAATACTCCTGAAATTCTTTTGCTCTGACATCTTTCTTTGTGTTTCTAGCACAGAATTCTGCAGATAGTTTTTGCATTTACTTTGAGGTTTATCGCTCTGACTGGTAAATCCTTTCACAAAGCCAGCAGTAGAACCAACATGGGTCCTGATTTATCAGGACTACACAACATGGGCCATTCACTTTATTATTTTCCTCTAATCAACTAAAATGAAAAACTAAAGTGAGATGACTCATCTCTCCCTACCCTTATCTTCTCCATTATGACCTTGAACAAATAATAATATTTGAATTGCAATTATAGTCGACAAAATGTTTTCACATGTAGATAGACCCTCAATTCCATCTTCAAAATAGATTTATGAGCCTGAGAGCAGGACTGGCAGGAAAGGACTTAGCCCTGGTTTTTAAAAATAATAATAACAATAACAATAGTATAATGATAATAATAATAATTGAACAGGCCTGCTAACTATCTTCTTACAGAGTTTGCCTCATTCCCTTTCCAAAATCAGTAATTTGTACTGGCTTCGCCCCTTCTCACTGGTCCAGGGTAGTAGTAGCATTACCTGTTTTTTGTTTTTGTTTTTACAGATGAGGAAACTGAGCTATATTTTCTTAGACGTCGTGACTTCCCAACTTTGCACTGGAACTTTACCTAGGTCTTCCTAGGTAAAGTCATTCACCTATGACTTTAAGTGAATTAACCTAATTCACATCCCTTTGGTCACTTTCAATAATTCTGACTGCCAGTTATCAGAATATCAAACCACATTACTATGGCTTATTATTTCTGTATGTTTTCATAACTTTTTGGATGGTTTGTTTAATTTTTATTTTCCTCATTTGTCCTTTTGTCCTAATTTTTATTTGCACTGTTCCTTTTTCTTTTCTATTCCTAATTAATCATCCTTCTGAAAGTTTGCTAAAGAGTGGGTAAGTGCATTTTCCTTTCCAAATATCAATGTTTGCCTTGTTATTTTTTATCAAGGAAATATGGAATAATTCAAGTGGATACTAAAATGATCTAATAAATATCAAGGAGCTGGCATACAGCATCTCTTGTTGAAATCGCTTTTCCTTTTTTCCTGGCATTTAGAGCAGATTTTTGTTGGTGTGGGGTTGGCTTTTGCATTACTGTTTAAGTGACAGCGGCAGTTCGAGAAATTGAAAAACTTAGCAGCCATCTCAGGAGAGGCTCTAAACCTGGGTCTGCTTCTCCACAAATGAAGAAACTAAGTAGCTGCCACAAGGGTTCATAAAGAGACTCTTTGCCCTCACACTGAGTCAACACTTGGAGGTAGAACCCGGGAGCTCCGAGGCAGTAACCCAAAGGACCTGATGGTTTGAGAAGAGCTTTTGCAAAATCAGTCAGTGCCTTGGTCAAATTCCCTTTGGAATTTGTGGCTCCCTAAGTCACATCACCCAGCAGTTTCCCAAAGATAATTCTCAGCCTCTCTATTAAATCATTGTGGTATCTTGCTTTGTAAGACCCAGATCAGCACACTGCCAGACCAGCCCTTAAGCCATCCATGCATGCTGTCTGTAAATGTGTGTGTGTCTACACGTATCAAAGCCAGCAAAAGCTTTGGGTGAGGAACAGTGCGCCTGTTAATTGTTTTAAGAGCTTCTGATCTTTCTCCATCAGAGACCTGGAATCAGAATCTTACAGCTGCTTCTGGGACTGCGGAAATAAACGGGGTCCCATGGCCAGGTTTTACTAATAAATTGCGTTGTGTCTAAAAATTACCGACGGATGCAATGCCATCGCCTCCCAAACACGCTAATATTTGTCTTTCTGTGTTCTTTAGCATCAATACCATTCAAAAATAGATGAACTAATTGAAGAAACTGTTAAAGAAATGATAACACTCTTGGTTGCAAAGGTAACCTTCAGCTTCAGGTGAAATGTTTCATTGTGAACATTGCTCTGTTGTGTCTGCGTTTCCATTAAAATATGACACGTTAAAAAGTTGCGCTGGGCACTTGCATTTCTCAGGAAATAAGATCGTACGTCACCCAGCCGCAGCTCCGAGTGATTTTTCTGATGATTGCGAGCGTGTGAAAATGAATTGATGAAGTGGCATATGTTACCTTAATAAGAATTTGTCCCTAAATGTTGCACTAGGTTATGCAGGAAATATTTGTTTTGTTTTTCAGCCCCGACAAAGTTAGATTTTTAAGAACAGAAAGTTAAACGGTAATAAGGAATTCTGCCATCATGAAAACCCCCTTTCCGCTAGTTTCACATGCAGTGAGAGTCATAATAAAACATAAAAGTCAGATAAAGCTATTTCAGTCACCCTCATGAATTATAGAATTTTAACTAAGTAATGCTGAATGGGAAGACATTTATATTTGCCAGTGCTAAACTTCTGTTTCCCCCAAATTACTGATAAAATACAAATAAAAATAGATTGGATTAAATGTAGTGCTAATATGTAACGTAAAAACTGCTTTGCACAGTTTTGGATTTTGAAAAGTGCATTTAATATTATCGCACGCTATACACAACTCAATAATATTTTGTCACTTTGCACTCTGTAACACTCTATATTTGCAATCACATAATAATGAAGAGAAAGCCGAATAAGTCAGATATTTCTATGTAAAGGCAGAGTCTATTCCTTTCCCCAAAGACGGGAGCCAAATAATAGAACTTAAAAATGATCGAGGGCTCATTGCTGGTCTCTAAGCGGTTGGGAAATGTTGCTCTTCCTTGTGAACAATCATCGTTTGAAGTAATCATTCTTTTTCCTTTTTTGCTCTTTTACTAGTTTGTTACAATCCTGGAAGGAGTGCTGGCGAAATTATCCAGATATGACGAGGGGACTTTGTTTTCTTCTTTTTTGTCATTTACCGTAAGTAAAGAGCTGCTTTCTTTCCTGGTTTTTGTTCTAGTTGGGCTTTGGGTTTGGGTGTGGGGAGGCGAGCTGTTGTGTCATTTTGGTTTGGGTTTGTGAATATCTGTTAACTGCAGTCAACTACCAATGTATAATAAGAACACAGGGAAATAAGGAGAGCATTTCATGACAACAGGTAATCCAAAATCATTCCTATTTAATTTGTGAATACATAATACGTATGTGTGTATAAACACGTACATAGACACACACACGTACGTCTCTATATGTATGTATCCAAAGAAAGGGTTGCCGGCTACGCCCACCTTAGCTATCTCAGGGAGACCATTTAATGTTTCCCGGCTACCGTTTCCTGCAAATGAGGAAAATTAATTTTAGAGGTTACCAGTGGAGACCTACAAGTCAGATAGAGCTTGTAAATAGGTTTTATTTGGTCCTCAGTGCGTCAGGTACACTTTTCTTTACTGAATTAGTTGCCCGCATTTAAGCATCAGGAGGATTGAGAGGTGTCTGTATCCCAGGGTTTCCTCATGAAGTGAACGGTCGGCAGCCCTGGGTCTGCACGTGTGCACTGCAGCAGTCTACTGGAGCTCAGTAGGGTAGTCCCCACAGACCAGGCATGTGTTTGCCAGTTTCCTGTAACCCCCCTCCTGGCTGTTCCGCTCATTCCCCTACCTGCCTGCGCTTGGGGACACTGGAGTTCACAACCTCTGGAGCAGATGATCCAATCTGTACACGTTCTGGAGAGCTCTGATTCTGTGCCAGAACTGGGCATGTGCATGGAAGTGAGTTAGGTCGTGGGCAGAAGCCAGCCTAGTTCTCTGTAGGTAAGTGATCAGTGGAGATGGTCGCTGTAAATGGGCTGCCTCAGGGGCCCAGTTCTCCCATCCTTCTGTGCTAGGCAGGCCCTGCAGCTGTGTGCTTTCTTGCCCTTTCTGATAGCAGGGTTCTTGCTGGCTCTAAGACCGGTCAGCTGTTTTCCTCTAACAATGCCGTAAGAAAGGCGATCAATTTAGGACCCACTATCTATGGGTCTTTAAAGCAGCCTTACTCTCTGTGGGTCTTTGAAACATCTCTTCTAGGAGATGAAGAATCTCCTAGAGAGGCAATGAATGCCAAGGCAAAGCCCAGCACGGGCCAGGGAGTAGCACGTGATCATCTTTGGAATCCAGCAGAACCGGGTTCAAATCCCATTACCTATCTTAACCAGCTGTGTGATCTAGAGAGGTGTCTCATCCTCTCTGAGCCTGAGTTTGGTTTTGATTTTGGTTTGTAGGAGGCATGCTATTGTGTCCTTTTGTTTCTGGTTTATGTATATGTGTGTTAATTGTGGTCAACTACCGATGTTGTATAGGAGTGGGGAGTAGATAATATCTTCCTTGATGAGCTGTTGTGAGGATAATAATGAGAGTGGAAGAGCTTAGCATGGTCCTCAATAAATGACAGCTATTATTAATAAAAGATAACTAAGATGATTATTATACAGTGCAAACATACATGCCATGCACGTAAGTTCTTCCCAAATATACCCCTACTTTGGTCTTTCCCTAA